TATAGAGCTACAAACCTTCTATTATGGGATTGGGGAAAGTAATCAATGGACTACACAAGCAGTGACTTCACTGTACTTGAGATCTGCGAGTCCCCCTGCCGCAGTAGTCTTTTCATTTAAAGATCCCTGTGAATGGATCTGTGAATGGATGATGTGTCTGCGTGGGCAGACCCACACAGTCGTGCTAAATTCATAAATCAACAGGACGCTCCACGGAGAAGCACCCCACAATAAAAGGATGCAGCCATGTTTTATGTTACTACCTAAATATGGGTGTAACATGACTCATGGTTTAAACAGGACTGAGCCTTTAGAGCAGGGGTGGGTGACTTCAGCCCTCCAGCTGTTGTGCAACTACAAGTCCCATGATGCATTGCAAGACTGACAGTTACAGGCATGGCTCCCAAATGCAGAGGCATGTTGGGATATGTAGTTAAAGCACAGCTGGATGGCCGGTGTCACCCACTCCTGCTTTAGAGTAAACCTGTCACAAATGTGGACAATTCAAATTGATTGTATGATGATAACATACGTAAGCAGAGGTCACATTCAAGAAATGATTTGAACAGTAGAGCCAAAAATACAGGCAGATACAATATTTATTATTGGTATTTATATAGCGCCAACAATTTACGCAGCACTTTACATAGTTGCACGTTCACATCAGTCCCTACCCTCAAGGAGCTTACAATCTAAGGTCCCTATCTCACATACATACATAGAGGCCAACTTAGAGAGAAGCCAATTAACCTTCCAGCATGTCTTTGGAGTGTGGGAGGAAGTTGGAGTACCTGGATGAAACCCATGCAAGCACAGGGAGAACATGCAAACTCCTTGCAGATAGTGACCTGGCTGGGATTCAAACCAGGGACCCCCAGTGCTGCAAGGCAGAAGTGCTGACCACTACACCACTGTGCTGCCCACAATATGTCAATCTTCATTTTTTTTCTGTATAAGTCAAAGTTGGCCCTGCACCCTCCTATCCAAACATAGAAAGGGGAAGGTCCATGACGAAGGTGTATTGCTTTAAATGCAGTGGAGAAAACCGAGGTCAAAGACCCGGCTGTGCAACAGGGATGAGTGAATCTCAAAAACAGCTGGGCAGGATTCCAAATACAGTTCCACCCTATGAATTTAGCTTATGTATTCAGATTTTTGCCTATAGCTCGGCTTTAAATAAGATATTTTTAGGTAGACTTTGCTTCTGAGATAATATATTAACTTTGGGGTTAATCGTTTATATAGTTGAAATAAACTAAGACTTAGGCCAAAGTCTTTAATTGCCTTTGCTGTAACAATTATTCTTTCAAAGAAAATGTTCTTCCCTCTCACAAACAGTAACAACAAAGGGGTCCGTTTCACACAATTTGCTGACCATGGCTGCTTATAAGAGGCGGAGGCGAGACCTGCATCACATTCCCATAGAAAGGAGATTATGAGATTTGACAAATACATGGCGAGATTTGAATAGTTCTTCAGTATTCTGCTGGGCTGGCTTACTGTTGGCCATTTACCCTTTGCATCCTGCAACTTAAATTTAAGGGACTGTGCAAAATTCCACGGTTGTCAGCAGGCACGCAAGAAAGCATGTGACTTTAAGTACCTACTACTGTCAGTGTTTAGGAAAGTTGGAAGGTAATTCCTAATTGAACCCTACCTTTATATTTCTGCTGGGATGTGAAGGGTTAAGGGAACGGATATTAGATAGTTAAATTTAAAAGGAGGGGGAAAAGGGATTGCTGAATGAATTTACTAATACATTAATTACTTTTATGACCTTGGCAGACCGGTACATACATTTATACTGACAACTAACAGGCTGCGATAGGCTTAAGGTAAGATATTTCAGCTTTTGGGACTTTCTGATTTCTCTATTGCTTCATAATGAAGATACATCAAAATCAGTACACTCAGCAGATGCGGTTTTAGTGCATTACACACAAGTGTTACAGCAAAGTGCAGTGTGATTGCAAATTAGCCTTGCTGCTCCGAGGTCTGGGTTCAGGTCTTGCGCACTGGAGTTTAGGGTTCAATACTAGCAGTCAAAGGTGCACATTTATCTTTAGGACTAGGAGTAATTCACTGATGTTCAGGGTACATGGACATTTTTTACTAGATGATGATAAGAGATGTCAACTGTCAAGCTGAACACAGGACAGTTCAGAGATAGTCTGCTTTCAGTCTTCCTTGCTTTGTGTCACTCTGGTGCAGGAATATCCTACATCTCAAATGTCATATAAATCCCCAAAGGCTCCTTATGCATTCTCTAGGATAGTTTGCACTAATGCTGTAACCTGCCCAGACACCTGTATGTAATATATTGTTATATTTTATTAAGTGGTCAACATTTAAATAAAGGTGGCACACTTTAAAGATAAGATAGATTCTTGCTATAAATAGGTCTGCATCCAACGCCATTATCACCCATTGTGTGATAAAACCACTTAAAAGGTACAATGAAAAATATACCAGACAAAAAGATACAAAGGGCAAATTGTCATTATTATAAAAGTTATATAGGGTTCTAAACTGCCCACATATGATGATCCAGTATACTTTATATGTTGGGAAGTTTTCCTTTAGGATTCCATAAGAAAGGTCAGTAAAGATCTACGCTTAATTGGTCTATAGGGAGTCCTAAAGTATCAAGATTGGTAAGGCATTCAGAAGACTGACTGGTAAAAAAATGAAATATATGTCACTGGACCCAAAATGTCTGGTTGTTCATTTAGGTTTTTTGAGTGGTTTTATTACACTATGAGTGGTAATGGCATTGGCTGTAAACATATTTTTTGGCTGTAGACTTATTTTTTGGATGTTGACATATTTCTTGGATGTAGACATATGTAAGGCAGCAAGTATCTATCTTTTATATATTTATACTTTGAATACAAGTGACTGCTCGGTAAATACAGTATATTATGGTAGTCTGTATCCAGTTTGTGTTTTTTTATTTTATACAAAATATAAAAGTACAAAAACATGACAATCTTATAATAGTTCAAATCGTTGCAGATACAGAATAACAATGAGTGCCTACGAGTAACAAAACATTAAAAGGAACAATAGATACATTGTTAATAATCTCCATACAACTAACTACCATCTGTGTAAGATCCTATAGGGTTAGCAAATATAAAATCCCAAAAGGTAGACCGTAATATGTCAATGACAAGGAGACTCAGACAGTTGTAAAGTCATGTTTGATATAGAGAGCACATGCTAATTGACCTAATGATACCCTTCATTTTCTTCAAGTTTCTCTGTATAAACCCAAAACATTTTGCTATTTCCCTTTTTTAGCGATTTCTCTTCTTTACCCCCTTTTTTGTGTAGAATACTTTTTGGTTTTGTTTTTTTTTAACTCTGGTTTGTTTCATACCACTTTCATGGCCAGAGACATGCAAATATGACATCTATTACTTGCACAAAACTGATGGATTAAGATTTTTTAAGAGAGAATGATCCACTGCAAAGAAAACCTGTCAAAATGAAGAGTTACGATCTCACCTGCATGATTGTTCCAGGTAAAGGCTCAGAAAGCTTTGAAACTGGAAACAACCAGACAACTAGCATTTTCCAAAGGAGATCAGCAATCGCAGCCTTCATATTTCTCATATTTTATATTATTGCCATATTTATACAGCAGTGAATGTGACCTTCACCAAACATTTGCTGGTATTGAATTAATCACTGTCATTTATAAAATACTTAAACTAAGAAGGTACACTTGCTGTGAAGGTTTGGAGAATGTCAGATTCGCTGCTTTCTACACATGTCCCTTAGTACTGCATTGAACCTGTTAGACTTCTGTTAACATAAGAGTCAGTACTGATTTGTAGACATGTGCGATTCGTATCGTTCCGAATCGAAATTCGGACGAATTTTCGGAAATTCGGACATTTGGATGTATCCGAATTCCGAATTACAGACATAACGAATGCAAACGAATCCGAATTTCCATTTCCGAAATTCGGTAGCGTTAGTACGAACGTTCGTTTCGTTTTCTGTTCTTATTCGTTTCTTATTCGTTTCGTTCGTTGGAGCAAAGTGACATTAGAGGAGAAAAATATTTTTTCCCCCTCAAATGTCACTTTTGCTGCAAACGAACGAACGAAACGAATAAGGACAGAAAACGAAACGAACGTTCGTACTAACGCTACCGAATTTCGTCCGAATCCGAATTCCGAACCCGAATTGACTTTCACACCCGAATCCTGAAAAACGAAATAACACAAATCCGAATTTAAAACGAAACGAAACTAAACAAATTTTTTTGGCAGTGCACATGTCTACTGATTTGGTTCAATCAATTGTCATGCCAATTTTAATAATTTGCTCCTTTGAAACAGGGAAACAGTTCAACAGGTGACCATTTGTTGAGGTTGAAAGTTGATAGAATCAAAACTGCCAAATGTGTTGACAGTATGTGAGCTAACAGTTCTGTATAGCAATATGGTGTATATTTATAGTACACATACAGTATATGCATATATGTATATCTTAGTACTTTGAAGTTCTCATTTATACTGAAAAATACAATTTTATAATGTGTTTGGAAGCTTTTGGCAGCACAGACACTTCCCTTTCCTCCACAGGGAACAGTTATAACTCCTGGCAGGTCTTTTTTTACTGTTTGTGTCCCACTGGGGAGATGATGCTATACTTCCTGTCTCAAGACACAACAGGAAGTGAGAGAAAATATTTTCAAAGTAAAGGAAATCCTCTCTTAGAAAAAGATTTCCCCTTGAGTGTTTAAATGTTTTCCTCACATTCAATCTTAGTAATAATAGTCACGAGAATAAATGGAGAGGATGAATCTCCCTAGAAGGGACACAAACAGCAATAAAAACTTTACAAGGCTCCTAACGCTTCCACACTCCAAAAGGAACATAAACTGTAACTATAGAAACACTTTCATGACTTCCTTTGTTTAGCTTCATCTGTGTGTTTTTTTTGTATTGCCTTTGCTGACATATTTTTTGTGTTCTTTTTTTAAGATGACACCCTTTGATGCACTGCGCACATTTTACCAAAGCCTAACAAGAACAAAGAGAGTGACGTTAGATACAGCAGAGGGCTCGGGGTTGTGCCGATGTCTGACCTCTGTGGACCTGGTGGCTCTAGGTGTGGGAAGCACTCTAGGGGCCGGTGTGTACGTCCTAGCCGGAGAAGTGGCCAAAGTGGATTCTGGGCCGAGCATCATCCTATCCTTCCTGATTGCAGCCTTGACCTCTGTGCTCGCAGGACTATGCTATGCAGAGTTTGGAGCCCGTGTACCGCTCACAGGATCTGCCTATCTCTACACCTATGTGACAGTTGGGGAGCTTTGGGCCTTCATTACTGGATGGAACCTGATACTTTCCTATGTCATAGGCAAGATATCTATCTTCTACATCAGTCTTTTCATAATCTATCATTTCTTACCTCAAACACTCAAAATTGGAGCTCTGTAAACTAAACTTCATTGACATGGCAGTTTGCACATCCACATAACAAAGACTTTACATACTTCCCTCACATGCATGAAATGTACTTGCGTCTAGACTGTTTCTTCATGCAACACAACTTAGAATGTTTCATAACTTATCTAAGTAACTTCTTCAGTTCTATAAAGTGGCCTTCGATAAGCTACGAAATGTCTTCATCATTACATAACAAATCCAATTGAATGTGACTAACTACTGCTAGCTATACCATGACCTGAATAAAGGAGAACCTTCACAGACATAGAGCTGCAAAACACTAACTATAGTGAATTGAAGTAAGTGAAATACATATAGGTATATTATATTATCTACCAAAGGCTTTAAAATTATGTTCCATCATGTTTAAAGCCATGTAGTATTTTCACTGAATACAAGGTGTTCTCTAAATAGATGAGAGGAGATCCTGTGGTTTACTCACCCCTCCTCTCCTCTTGTCCATTCACAGGAATCCTTGCAATCAATGCGAAAAGAATACACGTTTTTTGTGAATGGATAAGGAGAGAGGAAGGAGGAGAGAAAACAACTCTCTTCTTCACTGTACACCACCTGGAAATGTCAGTCTGAGCAGCGGAAGCTCACGACTTACAGTTGAATGGTGCAGGAACAAATCTATCACTTTTAGCACCCCAAGTCCCCCTTCAGACATACAGTACTGTAGTTGTTAAAGTGTTACACATATCTTCTCTGCACTTAAAAATTAAAAAACTTTTCAAATTTACTAATTTAAAGTCCTAACATTTCAAGGAGCTTCACAGAGAGCACTGGACTATTCACGTCAGTCTCAGCTTATAAAGGAGCTTACAGCTTAATGTCACTTACATATTCACAAATACTACGTATTTAATAGTTACGTTGGGTGGAAGCCAACGTAACTCTTCTCTTGGTTTGAGATGTGGTGAAATATACACATTTCAGGCTCATAGAATCCCAGTAAGAATTAAAAGCCATAATTCCAGGGCTGTACAGCATACTCACTAAGCCACCTATTTTTAATTATAACACCAACAGAAACAAAACAGTCCTATGGAAGCCGTTCCCAAAAAGGCAAGCAGAGGAATAATGACTAATCAACATTATTTCCTGTAGGTTCTCTGCAGTTGGTCTTTCCACATTAGCGACTTACAATGTTGTATTTCACAATGTGTTTCTATATGGGGCAGCCACCTTGGTGGAGGCAGTTCTTTGCTTCCTCATGTCAGATTTGACCTCCTGGTGACTGGCGATCTGATGACTAGTGAAGGCATAATCAAGATGCAGCAGTGGAGGTGCAGAGAGCACATATCCACCTAATTAATGAAGCAGAAGCAGAGTGATCCTTGTGTTTCCAGTTCTCAGGTACAGTTTTCTCTCCAGTAAAAAGAACAGTGAGTAGCACAGAAGAGACATCAGCAAATGACACTTTAAATCCTGTGAGATGAGCAGTCAGAGACATAGTGCCCTAAATGATCTTACATTGTAGATATACAGCCATCGGGCTAAGGGGACTGCAGTCAGATTAGTTAAAGTGTATGTAAAGCCAACTTTTTTTAGTTTTGGGTAGGGTATGGGATGGTAATGGAAAATTTTCCCACTGGGGGCACAAACAGCAATAAAAGCCTGACAGAGAATCTAACCTTTCCAGTTATATACAAAACTAAAAATAAATCTTATGGCTTTACGTACACTTTAGAGGGATTCCCGGAAAATTCTGCAAAGTGTGATTGAATTTTGCATTTACCGTTTTATTAAATAGGGCATGAATAAACTCTATAATCTTTCATTGTGTGGTATGTCAAATACACTATGTCATTAAAGACTGCTATACGCATTAACATGAGAAGAAGAATCAACGGAGAGATGGAGCTTATAATGTGTCATTACATGTCATCAGAGCTGGGGTGGAATTGTCCTTCAAATTAAACCTGTCCTCTAAATTGTATTTCATAACAGGCACTTCTAGTGTTGCCCGAGCATGGAGTGCCACGTTCGATGAGCTGGTTGGAAAGGCAATAGGAAATTATTTCAGAAGGACAATGCCCATGGACATACCAGGGCTGGCTGAATACCCTGATATCTTTGCAGTGTGTCTCATACTTCTCCTTGCAGGTATTTTCTGTATATGTACTGTTATTGCCTGTAATTAATCTTGCAGAAACTGCAGTGGACTAACTCCTGAGAACATGCATGACCTTTGCAGCATGTACCCTGTATGTGCTCCTAGCTCTGTGATTACACTGTCACTGGCAGTGGCAGGTCTCAGTCTAATGATCGAGAAACAACCAGCATGCTGCCTGATCACATGATCACCATTACAGCCAATATCAGTGATCAATGGAAATTTGTGTTCAACCATGCACCTCTCTAGGCACAAAAGTTTCATTTGAGCAAAAAGAACGCAATACAGTGTTACAAAGTAACAAAAGAGAATGTGAAAAATATCAGAAAAAAGCATTTTTCACATGTTTGCCTACTTGTTAGCTTATTATAAAAAAAAAGATGAGCAGGCAATGTATTAAAACTGTGAATCAAATCAAAGCTGTGTGTATAAATACAGTATTGTTTTCTCTTTCCAGGTCTTCTTTCCTTTGGTGTGAAAGAGTCAACCACAGTGAACAAAATCTTTACAGCCATCAACATGATTGTGCTGGTGTTTGTTATTATCAGCGGGTGTGTTAAGGGTGACCTGAGAAACTGGGAGATCACCCAGGAGGAGCTTGATGACGCAATTCACCGCATGAGGTATGCCTGGTAATTCCTTTTTTATACATGCTGATAAAAATATAAAACAATCTTGTAAATGTTTTGTTCTTTATATTTATGGCAGTGCTGTTTGTTTTATGGAACAAAGTGAGTATTGTTGTTTGCAGCACTGTGATTTGAACATAAAGGGAGAAGATTCTCACAACGAGGTGTATATATGATTAGGGCCGGATCTACTCTCTCTGCCGTCTCAATGCGCCCCCCTTTAAAGCCAACCCCCCCGCCGCCACCACCACCATTCTCGACATTTACCAGTGACTGTTAGAATACATAAATTAAAAACATATTTCTTGCCGATACCAAATACCGATACTTTTTTAAAAGGGACATGTGACATTTTTTCAAAAACATAACAGACTAATGATTTTAGGGCAGTTTCTTTATAATTATGAAGAACTGTAACTCATTCCATGATTATTCAGCAATGGAAAATGACAACTGGCTATAGAGGACTACAGATCCCATCAATCCATGATTATTCAGCAATGGAAAATGGCAACTGGCTATAGAGGACTACAGATCCCATCAATCATTGATTATTCAGCAATGGAAAATGGCAACCGGCTATACAGGACTACAAATTTCAGCAGTCCATGATTATTCAGCAATGGAGAATGGCAACCAGCAATCATGGATTGCTGAGATGTGTAGTCTTCTGTAGCCAGTTGCACTTATCTATTGCTGTATAATCATTATATATACAGCAATGGAGAATGGCAACCAGCTCATCATCAATCATTAGTCTGCATTGTTTTATTGTCTGTATTGTATCTATTCTGTATTTATTGTTTGGAGCTGGAAAAGTATCTGTACTTGTACTTGTACTGAGTACGGTACTTGGTATTTGAACATCCCTAATACAGAGAAATGAAGACTGTTGCATTGGGAGTTATTCTTTATACTATACTGTATGTCATAATATGTTCTTTTTAGCAGGTGTATATAGATTTTGCTTTTCCTGTATTGATCAATATGAATTAGGGCCTGTGTCACCAGGCTTTGGGCTTGTGTCGAGGGCATCATTTGGACATCACTTAAAGACACTTCTGAATTCACTGACAGGTGCATTTGACCTGTTGACCTTCCTCTGACCTGCTTTTGACCTGCTTCAAGCTGGTTTTGCTACAGGTTTTCCCATAGACTTGTATGGCAATGGAAAACCCCTTGTGAAGTGAACAAAAGCTGACATAGGCCCTCAAATATTTATTCAGCTTTGCTTCCTGCATGTTTAGCAAATGACAATACTCATGTCTTATGTACTGATTTAATTATGTTGGTTTTATTGAAAAATACATTTTAACCATCACACCAACAGTAACCATTCTGCAGGTGGTAACATAACCGGTATCTTTGGAGTCGGTGGATTCATGCCATTTGGCTTTAGTGGAACCATGGCGGGAGCTGCAACCTGCTTTTATGCCTTTGTTGGATTTGACTGCATTGCCACCACAGGTATGTATATAAGCATGACCAATGGCCCATCAAAACCATCTGCAATATATATAGTTATTGTTCGACATATTTGTTAATAACAGCATGGCTGACAAATTCTAGACGCTAGGTCACCATGGCAACTGGAAAAAAGACAATGCTCGGGAGGTTCTGCCCAATTTCTGGACTCAGGAACCTGTGTAGAGATGGTGGTAGGGGATAAAATATATGCGCTTGTGGGGGGCTGTATTTACATGGCTGCTTTGGAGAGTGGGGAGATTTAACTCTATTTATAGCTACTGTGGGAGTAGGCTTTATATATATTATATTAGGATATATATATATATTTTTTTTTTTACTTTTGGATAGAATGTGGGAAAGGTTTGTCAGGTTTTTATGGTTGTGTGTGTCCCTGTTGGAGAGATTTGGCCTCTCTATTTGCCCTATTGACCATTGTTGACCATAGAGGTGCCCATACACTGCTCGATTCTCGTACGAGAATCGCGGGAAATCCCGCGATCGTACGAGAATCGAGCAGTGTGAACAGAGACGTGAGACCGTTTCTACTGTACGGTCGCACGTCTTCCGTCGAACCAGCATGTTCGAAAACCAGCCGGGAATCGTACAATTCTTGGCTGGTTAGAACGGTGCTCGGAAGACAAATGCAGAACGGGCCGGTGTGCGCACGCGCACACTGCCCGTTGAGCATTGCGGTCATCGGAAGCCCGCCCCTCAGGGGGGCGGGCTTGCGATGATCGAGAGTGCGATCTGCCTGTCCAAGATAGGCAGATCGTACGTTTTTTTAATCCCTGTACAACCATCGCAAGACCAAGGTCTTGCGATGGTTGTAGAGTGTATGGCCACCTTAAGAGGGAAAATCTTCCAATGAGTTTACCTGTTCCTGGGACAACTGTATAGGAGGGAGTTCTCTTCACTTTGGAGACATTTCCTCCTAATTCCAATTAAATTTTGGAGACAGGAACTAAATGGAAATCCCTCCAATGGGACACAAACAGGAAACAAGAAACTGACAGCGTGGTAACCATTTCATACTCTAAAGTCTAAAGTAAAAATGGACATTTTTGGCTAGCGGTACAGTTTAAGTTGCTCACACCCTTCATTATCTAAATACCATTAAATTGCAGATAGGAATTGGCCTGAATGCACATCAATGCCCCAGTACAACAGTACTCATAATATTACGATATTAACATACAATAATAATATTATTTACCTTGAACTAATCTCTTTCACATATCTATCTCATAAACATTCCAAAGTCTAAAGTTGCATCCAAACTTTTAGGAGAGGAGGTGAAGAACCCACAGAGAGCAATACCTCTGGGAATTGTGGTGTCCCTATCTATTTGTTTTATGGCATATTTTGGCGTCTCTGCATCTCTCACGCTCATGATGCCCTATTACCTCTTGGATTCCCAGAGTCCTTTGCCAGCTGCTTTTGAATATGTTGGATGGAATGTGGCAAAATATGTTGTGGCTGCAGGATCCCTCTGTGCTTTGACCACAAGGTAAGATGATTTATCACAATAATTTGTATACGTCATTTGTTTTTATTGGTTGTAAAAAGCCTATTACACTACAATTAAGTTGCTTATTAAAATATTTTTTCCTGTCATTGCGTTTGTGCATGGTGGCTCTGAAGTCATTTTTAGAGGCTACAGTTGGGAGTGTAGGGAGTCATGGAAGCCACAAAAATGCCTACTTAAACATTTTGCCTCTGAGGAAATCCTAAGGGCCTGTTCACACCAGTTGCAGTGCGTTTTGATCGCACCAGACCGCAGGCACAATGTGCTATTCACTTCAATGGCCCGCCACGCCCCCTCCTGCCCCACTAAAAAGTGAGCCGGCTGCAATGTGAGGCACTGCGTTCTGGCCAGAATCGGGCCGGAACGCACTGCAACTGGTGTGAACGGGCCCTTAAAGGAGAACTATGGGGTCAGTGTTTTTCCCCATAGTTCTCCTTGGGGTAACGGGAGGACACAAACTAGCGTCCTCCCGTCACCCTAAGCTCAGTATACCGCGAGCTACAGCTCGCAGGATACTGAGACGAGGCACCTGGAGCGGATCCCGACTTAGATGACGGGATCCGCCCAGCTGCGTGAGTGACAGCTGGCTCTGCCTATCTAGAGGCAGAGCCAGCTGTACCCGCCCCCTCCCCCGTCCGTTCCGCCAGTCAGCGCTGGCAGATCGGAGCGGGGAGAGGGGAATCCAGCCCCTCCCCCTGTCACGGCAGAGAGCCGTGACAGGATCGAGAGGTGAGGGAACCCGGTATGTTTTCCCTCACCTCCCGATCTACTGAGCCGACCTGTGACAGTCTCATTGTCACAGGTCGGCTTAGAACTATGACGTGAGTGGAAATCACTCATGTCATAGTTCTCCTTTAAGATCCATTTACACAGCGTGAAGTATTACTACTTATCTGCATAAGCGTCCACACTGGGTGTGCCGGGTGTGCCTGGGACCACCCGAGCGCAACACCAAAACCCTGTGGCTTTGTGAGCCGTGCACAGATTAGAAGCCCGCAGCCAGATACCTGCAGGGAGCATACACGCCTAAAGGGATGCTGGGAAATGTATTCAGCGCACTTGAGTTTCAGTATTCAGTGCACAGGCTTGAAATGACAAAGCCTGATGAAGGGGACCCTGTGGGCCCTAAAACGTTGCTATTTGTTTTGACATGAAGCGTCAATAAACAGATGTGTTCTTCACTTCAATATGGTGTACTGTTACATCTTTAACAAGTGTTATTGAACTAGGTACAATTGATTGCAAACAAACAATTTATCATTGGTTTACATATTGAACGATGGAACATATGCGGTATTGTTCCTCACTTTGCTATTGGCTTAAAATGCAATCTATCAGTCACAAATCTAAACAATCTACTGAAAATTATATGTTCATAAATCTGAATTCAGATCAGTTCTCTGATGTACACACAATGATCAACAAGATTCCGCCTTGCTCCTCTAGGCAGAGTCTGAATATTATGTGCAGCCCCTTGGTTCTGTTAGAAGCTACATTTGGGACCCCCTTTACACTGTAAGTTGACCACTGCGGGTCTATAAACTATATAAGAGGCTACAGAAATTGCTTGTGCTATAAAAATAAATTACTTAGGCACTCTGCATATGCTTTTGAGAGATGTTGGCATTCTTGATGTAAATAACCTTTTGATCAGGCTGTCATTTTTATTGATGTTTATCTACTTCGGTTTTTTGTTTTTACAGTCTCTTGGGATCTATGTTCCCTATGCCCCGGATTCTCTTTGCGATGGCCAGAGATGGTTTGCTCTTTCAGCAACTATCACGAGTCAGTGGTCGGCAGAGTCCAGTGGTGGCCACAATGGCCTCAGGAGTAGTAGCAGGTAAATGCTTGAAGCCTGAGACTAGTACACCTGGATAGACCTAGACAAAGACTCCTGTGAGGCAGGGAACAGGCCTATGCAGTGACTTCCAGAAAGTCAGTACGGGATAAGACTTTGGCACTTTGGCAGGGCTTTGGGGAATCATTTTGTAAATCTTACTTTAAAGACAACCTGATAAAATGTTGGTAATCAAAGCATGCGATAAAAACAACACATTCACACAGATGACATTCAGTGTAAAATAAATGGCAAAATGCTGTAGATACATAGATATAGGAGTGGGTTAAATGCAAACCTGAACTTGGTCCCACACCTTTTCACTTCCCAAGCCGCTCTATTAGTCAGTGAGGCTACCCATCCTATTAAAGGACCAATAAGGAGGCTAAGGAAGTTGGAGCTGGTAAACTAAACAAACTTTTTACAGGGAACACCAAGATTCCCATATTATGTCAGCTCACTGGGTACTTGGCAATACGTGGTAAAGTACTTCATTCCATGCCTTAAACCTGTTACAACTACTTAAACAATATAAAAGAGTATGGATAACCTAGCCTGTGTAAAATCAGAAAGGTAACAACAGCCCTAATAATAAGTTAAGGATAAGAAAGAACAGATGCACCTGGGAATTTACAGGTACCAATGAGGGTCACACATCGCCTGCTAGGATATTGACATCCACTGAAAGATATACAGGTATGTCCTTAATTTTAGAAAAATCCACTACGATTCATGTCTGCATCTGTAAATGAATAATGGGAATGTCCATAAATGTTGGAAAGTAACTACAACTTATCTCATAATGGTATAGATCCCAGATTTACCTTTAGAGAAAGATCATAGCACATTTTTTCCCAATGATTCCTTTCTGTCTCACATATGAATGGCAGCCCCAGGTAGAAGAGGACTCCTAACTACAAGAGCTACTTCCCCTTATATATCCCTCGCCACTAGTTCAGAAGACCTGCTCGCCCGCATATAAAGCTGACAGCAATAAAAAAAGTATTTATCATGCCCTTTACATTATTTTTCACTCTGTGATATAATGAGGTTTCATATTTTCAAAACTCTAGTATGAGGGAAAAGGAGTAATGTTGCCATAGTACCCATAGTGCATAGCACAGCTATACAGGTTAGGAGGTATGTCTGTATATTAGCTTTCAGTAGTCTGACACAGAAAGTCAATTTAACAATATTCTGGTCTACAGCTGTCATGGCTTTCCTGTTTGACCTGAAGGCCTTGGTGGATATGATGTCAATAGGAACTCTTTTGGCCTACACGTTGGTGTCTTCATGTGTCATTCTGCTGAGGTAACTTGTATTTTGAAAATCACTTTGCATTTGCATGTAGTGTATGTGTAGTTTAGTATTAAATGTAACAATGTGGCTGAGAAGGGTGGGGAAGGTAAATTGTGTCTTTCTTGAACAAAATGAAGGTTATAGTCATTTAGTAGCCTGTTCTAGACAACGGAAAATTGTATACTTACCTATCGGTAATTTTCCTTTCCTGACACCAATACATGGCAGCATACAATGAGTATGGCTCCGCCCCCAGCCATTGTATACTGCCATGTATTGGTGTCAGGAAAACGGAAAATTGTATACTTACCTATCAGTAATTTTCCTTTCCTGGTGCCAATACATGGCAGCCTACAATGGCTGGGGGCGGAGCCATACCCATTGTATGCTGCCATGTATTGGTGTCAGGAAACATGTATTCTCATACACTTTGTAGGTCCCCAGGGCAGCAATAAAAGTTTAATTGTGTGAGGAATGGTGTTTACAAGATCAGCTCTTTCTCAGCATCTCAGAATATCAGTGTAATGTACACTAAGCCCTTCCACATCCCATGAGTGGCCATGTGCACTAAGGTTGTGTGAACATGCCAGATCCTTAACATTGTCTATGTTACCAATACTTCTGAAGTACAAGTATAGTTGTGGTGTTCCAGTGAAGCACACACTCTGTACAGGACTATGGCCTCTGCTCAAGTCAACATTAATCCCCATCCCCTCTAAAACCCAGATAGCAAGCAATTGAGCTGCAAGATTGAAAATGACTTGCTAAAGTATTGCAGACTTGCCAAGCTTCACAAATTTGTTGCAGAATTACAGCAAGTCTGCATTGCAAGTCTCCAGACCAGCGAGCTTGCAGAGCTCTTGCTAAGACCTGCAGCACTCTTGCTGCAAATTTGCTACAAACTGTCAACTAGAACTTGTGCTGCAAGTGTTCTGCAAGTCTACAACTTGCCAGGAATGTGTGCAGCAAGTTAACAAGAATTACAATTAAACCCTGCCACAAGTTTGTGGCAAGTTATCCTTGCTATCTGGGTACTAGAATGGATGATTGGACGAATAACACACTGATGCCTGCATGGTGTCAGCCCTGCCCAGCTGTCTTTTGGTGAACTATTTAATCCCTCCTTAATGGGAGAGCAATGTTCTGTAGTCCATGATACTGGAATGACTTCTTGGGATAATGCAGGCAGAGTGATCATGACACAGGACAGCTCTTAGTTCCTGACACAATCAACGGATATATGGAAGAGGTATAGCAAAACACTTTTATTGGTTTATTTAACAGAGAAAAAGGGAGCAAATAAGAGAAGTTAATTGTGAGGGTTTACATAAATTTAATTGTTTTCCAAAATAGGCTATAACCTTCATACCCCCCAAAAAATCAAAGGGCATGACTTCTTTTACTACAGCACATATTTTACTGCAAGATGTGACAAGTGTGATTTCTGTTTCTGCTAGGTACCAGATGCTGACAGACACCACACAAGCAACTAATGGAAGTATACAGAACCAGGATGATATCACAGATCCAAGGCCTTCAGCTATTGGTTCAGCTCGCCCTTCAGTAATGGTATCACGGGGTGTAATGGCATTAGGTAATAGAATTTACTCTTCATTCAGACTTCGTTATCTATATACTATAAAGCAGCATTTATTAACCTTCTTTCAGTTTCGTCACCCTTTAAAAGTATGTGAAATCTCAAGGCACAGTGTGCACCCCACCCAACAAAATACAAGGAGGGCAAGTTCACCCTTTTACATCAAGAGGCCCCCTCTCCTATCAGAAGCCCCCATTCCCATTCTGAGTCCCCCCCCCCCCTTTACATTACTTTACTCAGTTTCCCTTTCACATGAGAGTCTTTATAATCTGCACCACTGTGTGGCTGTGGCAACATGGCAGAGGGCCGCTGGACGTGGAGAAGGTCTGGATGGAGGTAACTTCTGACCTCTTCTGAATGTTGGGAAGGCACTGGATGCAGTCCACCCTGGATTAGCGTCATGCATTTCCATGGAATTCAAAGGCACCCCTGACAAAAGCCAGAAGGCACCCTGGTTAAGAAATGCTGCTATACAGAGAGGAGAGGACTTCCTGTTTCCTGTCAATGTTTGTGTAGGATTCTTGGGTATAGTTAGCTTTACACTCATAGTAATTTACTTCAGTATTATCAGTGTTATACTCCCTCTTTCTTGACTCTTCATCTCAGTAGTATATACTTCTCCTATACACTTCCCCAAACACACACACACACCAGCTGTCTTTCTTTGTGAAGCACTCCCCTTCATCATGACCATTAGAATGTGCAGTCCAGCTTTGTGGCCATCCTTCGTTGTTCTGTGCCTGCTACACGTTGCCCTGTGGCCTGTGTATGGCTCGACATGCAGCTAAACCCTCCTATCTGCAATAAGCCAGACTGAGTAAATCTTGTTGCTTTATTAACAAAACACGGTGGGGTGAAACTAGTGCAAGAACATAGAAACATACAATTAAATGAAACATGTAAATATAGTGTCAGATAACAAATAAAGGAAGAAACAATTCCATCTATACCAGTGATGCTGCCTAAAAGGGATTTGGACACCATCATCCAGACACATGATGCAGATGGCAGTGGGTTCTCTTCTCCTCAGCCCTAAAATGGAGGCTGAACTCCCAAAATGCACTTGTTTCCTTCTTTTTGGGCAAAGGAATTCTGGGAAGTTTTTCTTTATTAAAAGGAAGACAGTGTAAACTATTTGAAATAGAGATTGGCATGAAACACCTAATTGCTTCATGCCAAAAGCAAAACATTAAGTGTTTTTTTTTTAACCAATTTCCTTCTCATAGGGCTCTCCTGCTCGTTTTGTATTCTCAGATATGATCCTTAGGTCCTTCTCTTCTGTTTATTTCACTGTGACTTTTCTCTTCTCTTCTTTTCTGCACCCCCTGTTGTTCCCAGTTCCCCCTAGTACAACCCTTTAAAGTGTATTTCCACTTTTGCAGCCACATTGGGATTACACCTATTTTATATTTGTTACATGTTTCTCATTCACACAGCATAACTTAACCACATAAAGACCACAGTGTTTACACTCCCTTCCTTTCCAGGCCATTGTTAAGTATTCAGCGCTGCGGTACTTTGACTGACATTTATTCAGTCATGCAACGCTGTACTGAAATGTATTTTATACCATTTTTTGGGGACACATAGAGCTTTGTTTTGCTGGTATTTAATCACCGCGGTGATAAATCTCCAACAGCAACAAGTAGAGTAGGGAAGGCTAGAATTCCTGTAAACTTTGTATTTCTTTCTGTGCAGTTGCAGGTTTTCCCTCAGTTTCATGCCTGGTGAAACAATTGTTAGCTAGGCTGAAAATGACCGGACAGCTCTCTAGTGGAGCCCTGGATAACAGTAAAATCTGACAGAGGTTCTAATGCTTCCCACTGTATGCAAAACAAAAACAAAAAGTATTGTAGCTGCACATACACTTAAATGTTATAAAAAATGTCATTATCTGAGAGCAAATATTCATACAAATAACCAGTTATATTCTTTCAGCGGTCCTGGCATGTATTGCGAGTGTGGTATCTACAATATTTTCCCAGAATATCCTGTCTGGCGTCCTTTGGTGTATTATTCTGGTTGCCTTGGCACTCCTTGGCATTGTAGTGATCACCTTCTTAATCTGGAGGCAACCACAAAACCAGAGCAAAGCAGCATTCATGGTGAGCCTTACATTCACTTTACATATTTCATTTTTGTTTTTTGGAATTAGAGTTATGTCTCCAAGTAATTTTGTTTTTTGCACCGTACTATTGTGTTTCTGCCTGTACAAATGAGGACATATGAATTTATGCTTGGTATCATTATTTACTTTTGTCATAAAATTACAATCAATTAACACAGATTAAAGAAAAACAAATGTGACATTGTCTGACAGCACAGACTTAGAAAAATGATTTCTCTTTGTAGGTTCCGTGTGTGCCATTCCTACCTGTTCTGAGCATCCTTGTTAATATTTACTTGATGGTTCAGCTGAGTGCAGACACGTGGCTCCGTTATGCTGTCTGGATGGTGCTCGGTAAGTTGCCCTTCTAAAGTAGGCTATACACGCTTTGAATTTATCTGGTTCCTAATGAACCGGCCGAAACTCTCTGCATGGGTGCCGGCACCCTTCTGCCCGGCAGCCCTCCATCAACTGATTTAAGGAACAAGTCAGAGAATTCTCAGCCGAACAGTGAACCAACGGTCTTGTTGGTAATAGTCTAATGCAATGAGGCAGATTTACTAAGAGAGTTGAGACTCTTCACGTACTTTATATTTACTATAATTATCATATTTTATCCTATTAAAGCAAATACCCGTTTTTTTTTTCATTTGCAAATGATTGGGTATTCAAAGAGAACAGGAATTTACCAAGATGGGATCAGTAAAGTGAATATTCACTCAATTTATTGATTGAAGATTCTCAACTCTTTTAGTAAATCAGCCTTAATATATCTGATGTTTGTAGATTTATTTTATTCTTTTATGTTACTAAAACCCAAATAATGATAAAGGAAACACGACATAAGACTGGCCAGTTCAATCTAAGAATATTTTTAACATGTAAACTACATGTCAAGATGATTAGTGCATCCAGATATAATTAAATCAACTCCATGTCAAGATGATTAGTGCATGCAGATATAATTAAATCAACTCCATCTGAAAATGTATCAAAGCTACAGCTTGTTTAAATTTGTGGCTTTGACTAAAAATGTTAGATCAGCTTATACATTATCTTTATTACCGTGTTTCCCCGAAAATAAGACACTGTCTTATATTTTTTTTTGGCTCACAAAAACACACTCGGTCTTATTTTCGGGATAGGTCTTATTTTTTTTTTTTTTAATGTACAACAATCCACACTTATTCATGTACAACAGTCTACATGTATTCATGTACAAAAATATGGTGATCAGGGCAATCAGGGGTGCCGTACCTTTCCAAGAGCAATTTGGTAACCAATCGTTGGCCAGAATGAGTGAAGCGCACTTTCACTATGGATTCCTCACAGGTGTAGTGCATTTGGTATCGCTCTGCCTGTGACAGGAGCCGGCGCTATAGAGGAGGCATCGGCTTATGCAGCTCTGCTTCCTCCGGTGCCACTTTGCTTCTTCTAGCGCTGGCTTCGTTGGCACCGCTGATTCTTTCCTGCGGCTCTTCAAGTTTCCCCTTATGCCACCACCGTCCCTGGGAATGGTCACAACTAGGTCTTATTTTCAGGGTAGGTCTTATATTTTAGCAATTCCCAAAAATAGTACTAGGTCTTATTTTCGGGGAAACAGGGTATATCCTAGAGCTGGCCATACACCTGTATGATGGTGGGGGAAGGGGGGGGGGGGGGCAAATAGTGCCTACCTTACAATGCAAGTTTTTTATAAACTTCTTTAAATATTTGATTCTAACTTAAAGTATAACTAAAGTCTACAGGGATACTGTATGGCAGTCTAAAAAGGAATCAAATCCAGTTACTAAGTGATGCACAAGTTTCGTAAAGAGAAAAAAAACTTCCTTTACCCTCCCTGACTGAGCCTAATCATCCTTTAGTGTCTCCCAAGCTCCCCCTCCCAGATGCTGCAGCTAACAGTGGGATGGCTTTAGATACAGAGGCAGGGCTGCCAATCCAGAAATTAGTGGACAGGACTAGGTGTGAGCAAGTGCTGAATGGCAAGCTACAGGCAGCAGGGACAACGCCGATAGCCACATCCCTGCAACATCATCTTATCCCACTGTAGTGCAAGCAGGAACAGCCTAAGGCTAGGTCTACAGCTGGGCGATTTATCACGCGTATTTTGCCGCCCGATATCGCACAAAACAGAGATTTGCATTCAAGTCTGCGTAAGCTCACACCTTTGCGATTTGTCGCACGGTAGAAATCGCCTGTCGCAAAAAAAAGGTGCAAGAGCTATTTTCAGGCGGTTGTCGCGCGATTTGGGTCCCATAGACTAGAAGGATCAACAGGCATTTATGAGAATATTCTGGTGGATTAAGAGAAAACTTGTACTTACATTTAAGTGCTGCAGTAAATTTTTTTAATGGGAGGCCATAATTCTATTTTATATATACGAATACAAATGCCCATTAGGTTTATTAAGGCTGTGCTTATTGTCCTAGAGCTAATGGTGTCTTGAAAATCCCCAGTAGTAAACATTTTGTATTGTTATACCCCACTTTGAATTCAAAGTTTTACATTCAACTAGACGTGTCTTAAAGCCCAACTCCAGCCCATAACTTTTTTTTTGTTTTAGAAGGGAAGGATTAGAATCTCTGAACTAACTTCCTGTGCAGACATCGTGACAGGAAGTAAGGGAAAACCTCCCCAGCTCAGTCAAAGACATAAAAAACGCAGATTGTAACCATTCCCAAATCAAAAAATTTGGCCAGCATTCTGCTTTAGCCATGTAAAATGTTGTGAAAGGAAGTCCAATGTTTTAAGCGCTCTTCGGGGG